AACTTTTTAGTAATAGATTTGTTACAATTGTAATAGCAACGGCAACACTGCTCACTGCCCACTGCGCTGGCCTGCCTTCTCCCGCTCGTCCATCCTGACACGCATGAGTATGGACTTCAAGAATGTGTGGTGGGGAGCAGAGGCACACCGCTGCTAACATACATATATAGTTTGTTATACCTACATAGGTACATGTACTCTAGTTTCATAGTTTTATAACATTAGAATGATTTTTTGAGTTTTTACTATTTTTATATACGCACTTTTACGAAATTTTGTAAGCAATTTTACGAATTTTAATAAAAAAATAAATGGTCCCAGTAGTCCGGATACCTCGATAATCCGTCATTGACCGGAACGATATGTGTCCGGATTACTGAAGTTGTACTGTACTTCAGTATCAGATTTTATAAAAAAAAGGTCAGTGATATTGTTTTAGGGTTGCTACAGAAATTATTAATGTTACTTTTAGCCAACTTACATCAATTTAGACACTTGTAGTACGGGTAATGTTGAAGATTCTTTATATTGACGTTAGTTTTGGACTTTAATTAATGTAAACACTCATATTAAAATGTTTTATTTATTTCATTCTTAAATAAAGTATGCCTACATAAAAGAAATAATAACAAAGGCCAGCATACATTTTGTAAATACCCGTATAATTATAATCATTTAAGTTAGTTAAAGTATGAGAATCTAATGGTATTTTATTTTTGTTAGGTATTTAAAATATAGGGGCTGCTAAAATAATGAAAAATCGAGATACGGTTTAAAAAATATGTTTCGATAATTCACCAAAAGCTGTAGTACCTCCGCACCATCTAAAACCGATCCAAAGTAAAAGAGAAACAAAAAGTCGGAAACGAAAATTGGCAGCAGCATTACCTAGTAACCTTTTAATGTTGTGTATTTCACATTTACGTAACTCCTTTAAATATTTATAAACTGCCGCAACAAAGTCTAAACCAGTTCTTGTCTGTATTACTTACAAGATCGGCTTACTTCCTAGAAACAGGTGGCGCTACAAAAATCGACTCATTACACTTGTAAATAGCGACGAATAAATAACAATTATTTGCTAAATCGAGTGATTAATTGACTAATTTTCGCGGTGGGTAGAAATACTTTACAGTTATAGGTACATTGGCAAAGGCAATGGCGTTCATCGGGGATAAGAGGGATTATTTGCCCCATTTTGAAATAGGTACAGATTATTTTAAATTGAAATTTAATTAATGAATAAATATTAGATATCATACAGGGTGTTTCTTAATAAGAAGAAAACTTCATATGAATGTATGTGTTAAACTCCTTAACTTTTGAGATACAGAGTGTTAAAGTTTAAACAAAAAATCAATTTTTTTATTGTCATTTTCATACCACTTTAAAATTAAAGAGCATTTTAAAGAGTAATTTATTTTTTAAAAAACCAGTGGCGTACCATTTTTTTCTTCTTCAATAATATTTAGTTTAAATACCGTAGGGACGCCACTGATGAAAATAAAAAAGTTAATAGCATCAGAAAATGTCATTTTATGATAAAACAACGTGTACTAAATTTCAATAAATTATTTTTAGTGGTATGAAAGATATATGATTTTTTTTCTTTAAACTTTAACACCCTGTATCTTGAAAACCATCCATTTCCGGACACATGTTTATATGAACTTTTTACCTTAAAATTACTCCAAGAATCATTTGCTGAAGTTTGTCAAAGTATTTATGAATCACCCTATATATTCTTGTACTCTTACTCTGTAATTGAGTCTTGACCTGTTGAGTAGTGTAATAATAAATAAATAAATATGTTTTTTTCTTAAAATGGGTTCAAGAATCACCACCTTAAATATTAACATGTTATTAAGAAACATCCTGTATATCATTAGAATACAGGATCATAAAGCGAAAAATGTTAATAATTTGTACCAGCTTGAAATAAACATGACTAGTATTCAATTAATTAATGAATAAGTTTTCTTAGTTCGAAAATGTTTTCAAAGTATAATAATAAATCATAAATTGGCATCTATGTATTTGTATTGCATATTTATGTATAACTGTAACAATAATTATCAATATATTTTAGCGACATCTTCAATGTAAAATATTTTTCTGTAAGTATAAAAACTGGGTTCTAGCAGGCTTCAGAATCCATTTATGGTTTGTTTAATCTAAACTATGCGATGAAATGCCACAAAGAAATTCCTCTAGAGATTTTAAAAATTCCTTAATAATTTTTTAAATGTTAAAACCATGCCACATCTTTCCAAAATTAAGTTAATAAGAGTTTGGTCAAGAGTCAAGGATAATTAAATTATAATGAATAATAAGCTATCTACGGAAAAAAGTACGTACTTATATAAATAAATATTCGTGTTAATAATTTTATTAAATGCTTTGTTAGTTAACCGTTTTAATACAGCTATTAATTATTACAATAAAGTATCGTAATTTTTAATTACCTGTAGCTAGGTGTGATAGGTATTTGATTCGGTCAGTACTTGCGAAACACTTTGGTCTAGCTGAAATTAATTTGTCTTTAAAAGTCATTGACCCTTATAATAGAATAATTTATATCTATGATGGATATAAAAAAATTAAACATTTTTTGGAAAGTAGGTACGCCTAAAAATGTATAAGATGCCACAAAAAGTTACGTTCATATTTTTAATCGTTTTTTGCCAGATTTTTGTGATTTTTTAAACGCCCATGTCTAGCTGTTCTTGAAGTTAACACAAATATTATACTGTTAAAAATAATAGTGGGGGAGGAGCAACACTTTGCGTTAAGACTATACCGGGTGTCTGCAAGAAAACTTCGAAAGGCTTTATTTCTGTTAAAATTTAGATTGTAATCTTGATATTATAGAAATTTCACATACTTCAAAAGTAGCTTGATTTTTTGTAGTAAATAAACTATTCTATCAAAATCTCAAAAGTAACCTATGTAACTTGTAACTTTTTTATTATGGATAAAAAAATTAACAAATAAGGGAAAAACGGCTGTTTGAAAATTTCAACTTTTATCAAAAAAAATTACTTTAGTTGATCTATAATCACGAGCAAAAGTGTTACATATTATTAATTTAAAATTACGCCTGTTGATTTATGGATGTTTGTGATAGCAACGTGGGGGGTTCCGCAAACCAACGCGGATGTGGTGGCGGTCTATAGCTGCTTATGTGGGTTTGAAGAAAATTTTCAATTTTTCAATTGTAAACCAGAAAACAAATTCAAAGATGCTGGTAGCACAAATAGAGCTTACATTGTTATATTTGAAGGCAAATGCGATATTTTTTAAATATCATAATCCACGGAGTTTCCTTTATAAGTGTATAGGCCAGAAAAATTATTTAATTGTATTACTGAAACACATAAAAATATCTAGAAATTTTAACTTTAAGTTATAAGTTACTATGGAAATAGACAAAAAATTGGCTTGTACAGGATATTCTGAGAAGTCGACAATTTAGTAATAAAAGACAAATAAAAATAGATTGCCATACAATAATTTAAAGTGATATTAAGTTTTAATTTTTGGTGGTTTAGTATTATTTTTCTTTTATAAATACCATAAAAATATAAATTAAGTTTTAATATCAAATTAATATTCGACGAAAAGGATTAAAAGTGAAGGGATGATGTAGGTACTTGTCGGTATTCTATGAATTCCATCAAGTTGTGGATTTAAAACTGTTGTTACTATAATTGATTATAATAAATTGTGGGTTTATTAGTTTGATTAATTATCTTTTAATAATAAAAAAGGTAAATGCTAGTTTTCAGTATACCTTCCTCAAATAATAATCAATTGGACGGCCAGTTGGGTCGTTCGTACTACGAGACTGTACCGTTTGTACCCCTTGGTAGTAATAAAGTAATACTATCTCTATCTTTACGTTTGTTTTATCTATTTCTCGTTTGCGCACCTCCAAGTACAGTCTGTTCGCCATACTTACGCGGGTTTAGGATTAAAATTTTTTTTGAGTATTTCCAGGTAAGTACCCGAAAGTTTGACCTGTTCTTTGGGGAAATATCAACTGGTTAAATGAAATGAAAAATAATGTACTACTTTTTAATTAAATAATAATGGACGGGCCTTTCTGTTATCCTCCTTTTGAAATTTGAAACCCAAGTTCACATGTTCCTTCGATAAATGGTATCACGAATTTCAAATTTCTTTCCATCTGGAATATCTTTCGTTTTCAATGATGGGCGAGTTTTGCTGTGATCTTCTTTCGGCAGTTTACTATTGTGATTTTGAAATACTCCTCTTAATTTGGTTTCACTAATTCCTAAAGCATCGCATACACGTTGTTGTACAGACATTACCGATTTTAAAGGACCGCCATTTTCTTTTTCGTCCGTAAAATACTTATGTACACTACAAATTAGACTATCTACATCTAACACACGTCTAGCCATTTTTAAAATTTCCACTAAATTTACAATATGCATACAATGTCAACACTTGCAAAGAATTAATTCAACTGCAATATTTGTTACAAATTTAGTACCTACCCTAATGTTATTTTAATTTAAATCTGACCATTAGGGCAATTTTACCTAATTTCTTGGGAAGAGGCTTATTGGAACTGGTTGTCAATGACTAATTTGTATAATTTTGTTAAGCCGAAACCCGCGTAAGTATAGCGAACAGACTGTATCCTAGCTGGGTTTGTCGACTTGTAGGGTCCGATTACAATTAGAAGAACCCAGCTACGTCATCATTTAGCAAAGTAATTAATTGGTTCTAATGGGGGTTTAGTGTAGTGTTAATATTATAAGAATATAGGAAATATTGTTTTACACCTAACAACTTTCTTAATTTTTGTTTATTGAAAGTTATAGATAATAGGCATTCGAAATTCGAAGTAATGGTTATGTCGTAGCTGTGTTCTTCTAATTGTAATCGGACCCTACTTGTTTTAGCGTTCCAATACAACTAGTAACTAAAATAGGACAGCGAAACGCACGTCCCATCTCGAACTAACTTACCGTTGCGTTTTTATTGAACCGTCTGCTCCCTGACCTCCGTAACGTGCCCCCACGAATGTTCGAATCATCAAGATGTATTTCACCCCCATCGTGGCCTGATCGTCTGCTCAACTCGCTAAGTTCGGCTACGGGTTGGACCTGCAACGAAACAATACATTTAATTGCATGACTATTATTTAGGGTTGGTTAGGGTTGCCGACAGTGACTGTACTAGCAACGGTGTTAAAACGCCCTCGGGAATGTCAGTATTTTAATTAATTTAATTCTATTGCGAAATTAAGGGAACAGCATTAGAAAATTATTCATTTAATTTTTATGATTCATATTCATGGCTCAAACGATGTAATATTTTCAGCTTTTTCTTCTACTGAACTATTTATTAAATAAATAATTTAACATTGTTTTTAATTAAGTTCTTTTAGGTGCAATATTAAAAGGACACCCTCAATATTATATCGATTTTATTTTACAACTTTATTGAAAAAATACACTTTAAAGCCTATTTAACTAACAGCTAGTCCCATAAATAAAGACAAAATTGTTCTTTTAGTAAAGCTAACTGTTACGGCGACTTTTACCTCAGGGTACTAAGGGAAAGCCTTTTCAAAGCCAGGAAGGGTCAATCTCAGGAAAGATTCGAAGGTTAGCAAATAAAAATTACTGCTGAGTTATTTTCTTTCAATCAGGCAGATTATATTTTTAAAATATTACTAATTATAATTGTAAGATATCTTTAACATTGATTATTTTGTTTTGTATGGTTTTAATAATAAGGACCTATTTTGTTTCAGGATCGCTATCTTGTCCTTATCACAAATTTTAACTATTAAGAAGGTTTAATGTTTTACTTTCAAATTGGTAAGTTAATCTACACATAAATAAATTATCAGCAAATTGGCAAATTAATATATAAAATATACGTTAATCACTGACTCGAATAAAAAAAATTCAATTTAAAGTTTTTAAGGCTTATCTGTTTTTTTTTTCAGAAGGTCGACTTCTCTCCAGAACATTACAGGGCTTCGTTCAATGTTATGGAGTTCCTATAGGCGTCAATACAGTGTGGATTGAATAAAATATTTTGAGGGGAACCCGGATATAGTTTTAACTACTAAAGGTAAAATTAAAACTGGAAAAAGAAAAAGGCCTAAAAATAATATAACTTGGTAAAGCATCATCTAAAGAAATATAAGGTACAATAGAATAAGTTCAATCTATAGACAGTGGCCTACACGTGGCTTCAATTGAAGCAAATTTGATAAATGAATTCTTCAAAATAGATTATTTCTTTTTAGATCCTCTAAATGTGATATTAGTTACTTTATCTCTAATATCGAAATTAAATAAAACACTCGGAGATTTCGGTAAATATCCGCGAAAATGCGAGGTTTGGAAAACGTGGTTGCTTCTCAAAGTAAATTCTCCAAAAAGAAAAAACTAATAGTTTTTTCTTTATGGGCTTTAAACCGAATTATTCCGCGAGTAGGTATCTAGAGAATTATTCTTTTGCACTATTGGCTACACTGAACTGTGCATGATGTCATGGTATTTTTCCAATAATTTATGTTTTATGGTTCTGTGAGAATAAACTTTGACAGGCGATGATAAAAGTAACAAAAGAGGAATCAAAATATCCACTTCCGATTCTGACACCGTGGTGTCAAGATTGAAATGGCGGTCTCAGAATCGGGAGCCATGTGTGTGTATGTGTTTATGTTAAAATCTTAATTAAGAATGGCCATCGAATAGAAAATTTAGCCTTAATGGGATTATGCATCCTATTAAGAAGTTTCAAATACATATTTTAATTATATTACTTGAGGGTATCCGATTGCCAAGAGCAAGACAACGATACTCTCCCGTTTTGATAGCTGGGTAAATTGTCATGTAGGGTATATCCCAAAAAAGGAAGAAGAATCAAAACATGATTTAAGGTTATATTTATTTATTTATTTACTAAAATATTTCTAATATTAGTTTTTCCTACGACCACTTAGGAAAGTGACACATATCACACTATACCGGGTGTTCAAATTAAAGTGTTACAGCTATATACCGCCTTTTATAAAAAACAACGTTTGCGAAAGTTTTATAGTTTTGTGGGGAAAAAATTTTGGCTAAAATCGTTTTTTATAGCTAACCATAATATGGCCAACTTTTTCTTCGCCCAGCAAAATTTTCAAGTAGCTGTTACTCAAAAAGTAAAAGTCCAATAAAAAAAATATTTTCATCAAAAGTTTCTTATTTTTTATGTACTTTAAGAATATGTAAAAAAAATAGGATTCCCATTTAAAAAAAAACAAAGTACACCTCGATATGGTCATATTACGGTCAGCTATAAAAAAATTAATTTAGCCAAAATGTTTCCCCCAAAAAACTATAAAACTTTTGTCTGAAACTTTTTTTTCTAAAATGCATATTTTCGGCGGTATTTAACTATAACACTTTAATTTAAACAACCGGTATAGTCCCATGGAAAGTGCCCTATATCACACGCGTATGAATAAGAATTTACTTTCCACCCGTGTACGAATATGCTACTTTCCAACACATCATTTCTATTTTGATCTATGTAATGTCCATAATAATACTAAAATCAATATGATTATTAAATTATTGAAATTGTTGTAAATTAGATCCTAGATATTTATCTTTAACAATTATTATTTAAAATAACTAAGATATATTTGCTTTTTATACTGGTTAAACACATAACCGATTAAATCATTCAATTGACGTAAGGCCTATTAGCACAGATGGTTAGAGTATCAAACTTATCAACTTTGCGATTTGAGATCTGGCGAGCGACCGCGCTCAAATCCTGACGGGCCAGATTTTTTTTTTTGTTTAGAAAATATGAAAATTGAATAAATACGATTATTGTTGATAATAACCTGGTTTTACATTTTTTGATGAAATTATTTTGTGGTCGTAGGAAAAATATTGTACATCACTTCTGTGAAAAATGATTTTCTACACTCGTGCGACAATATTTCCCACTCGTGTGAAAAATGGCACTTTCCACGCTCGTAATGTAATATACTATTTTAAATAGTTTGATTTAACAAAAATATTTGTTACATTGGCAACTCTGAAATGACTGCGTAAAGTTGGTCACTACGTCAAGTCATTACGTTTTTGACAGTTAAAATTATCTTAACCTCTCTGTGCTGTCACGTTTAAAAATGTGTTCAACTGAATTATCTAAAATTAAAAGGAAAAAGAGGCTATTTGTTGTAGCAAGGCCAATATAGTCAGTCGGAATCGTTGGAAAGTCATTATGTTTTATTTAAAATAGTGCGCCCCGTTCTATATATTTTAGCCTTTTTTAAAAGCACAAGATCTTCTACTTCTTCATCTTCTGGCGATGAACTTAAATTAATACAAACATAAAGCTTTGCATTCATCGAACACCAAACAAAATTTTTATAGGTTATATTTATAAAAATTGTACTATTCAGAGCTGATTTGAAGTAAAATGGGCTTTATATTCGCATTGAGGTCAAAATTAGGGACTTTCAGATAAAGGATATTTGAAAAAAAAAATACTTCAATTGGAGCAGACATTATCGAAGAACACGGATTTGATCCGACAGTCAAGGTAATTTATGTTTTAAAAAAATTGTTCAAATGTAGGGGTTCAATTATAGGTGGAAAAATTTTGTTAGGTCGATATGAAGTTTTCTTGAATATTTTACCAGAAGTTAGTAGGGGGGGGGGGAGGGCAATACTTTACGTTAACATTCTTATACCGGGATTATGTAAAAAAACTTCGAAAGACTTTATTTCTAGTAAAATTTAGATTGTAATCTTGATTTTTTGAGAATTCCACATACTTTTCATTCATAGGTAGCTTGATTTTTCGTAGTAATTAAACCCATTCTATCAAAATCTCAAAAGTTACCTATGTAACTTGTAACTTTTTTATTATAGATATAAAAATTCAACAAATAAATTTTACTAGAAATAGAGCCATTCGAAATGTCTGCGCGGACACCCGGTACATCAAATTGATAGTTTCTTAACCCTATGAAATAAAAGATGATTGACTACAAAAATATAGCGTACATAATTAAATTCGTGAATTTCATATATCATTTTTTACAAGTAAAATATTACCATTATGCGAATAAATGCAAAAAAATACCTAATTGACGTTTTTCTTATAAAAGTATAGCAGATGTTACTGTCTGAAGTGTAGATAATTGAATATATACGGTTGTAATTGTACCTCTAGCCTTATTTAACAACACGGCATTCGCACAGGAAAATTGTAGGTTTTCGAAATCAATGACCAGACGATTAAGGGCTTTGTACTTTGCGTGTTTAGTTAACCATTTTAAAATATTATTATTCTATTTATGAAATGGAATTAAATGAGCGCACAAATCAGGAATAATACGTTAATTTGAACCGTGAAAAATTTAATGTTTAGCATTTGCATAATGTAATCTACTACGAGGTCTACAGATTATATAGTTCTCATATTGCCCTTACACCAATCAGGTTTTAGGAAAGGACACAGTACGACAACAGCTCTATGTCACTTAACTGATTCTATAATAACTGGATTGGATGATAGTCAAGCTACAGCTCTTGTGTTGCTTGACTATAGTAAAGCATTTGACACCCTCAACCATCTGCTATTAATCTCTAAATGTAGTTACTATGGTTTTAGTGACAAATCTCTTAATTTTATTAAATCTTATCTTAGTAATCGCTCACAAAAAGTCCAAATAAATAATCAGTCATCTGGATTTGAGTCCATAAAATCAGGCGTACCACAGGGCTCCGTCTTAGGTCCCTTACTCTTTCTTCTGTATACGTCAGACTTGTGTGAACAAACTCTGACATGTAAAATCCAGTTTTTTGCTGACGATACCCAACTACACCGTTCATTTAATTCCATTAATGCAGAGGTAGCAAGTAAAGCGGTTAATAAGGACCTAGCTAGAATAAAAACATTTTCCTTGGATCATAATCTGCATTTAAATCCATCAAAATCCAAATCAATCATATTTTCTAATGCCCAATCTCGATCTTATATTAAAAATAATTTTTCCATAAAACTTGATGATGAGACAATTCCTATGGTACATGTAGCCAGAAGTTTGGGCTTACTACTGGATGAGAATCTT